TTGTGGTGCTGGAGAAGAGTGTTGAATATACCATGGACTGCTAGGAGAACAAACAGGTTTGTCCTGGAGAGGGTGAAGCCAGAATGTTTCCTGGAGGCAAGGATTCTGAAGCTTTGTCTGACATACTTTGGGCATGTTGCAAGAAGGGACTGGTCCTTGCAGAGGGACATCATGTTTGGGAGAGTGGAGGGACGGCACAAGAGAGGAAGACTCTTGATGAGATGGATCGATTCTGTGAGTGGAGTGGTGGGAATGAGTGTGTTTGAGACAGCGAGGTTGGCACAGGATAGAACGGCATTTGGGGCTCTTGTACATAGGGTCGCTATGAGTCACAAACAACTCGGTGGCACATAACAACAGCAACAACAATTTTATCAGTACTAATTACTAAATACCACAAACTATGTTTATGAAGGGAGTTCTGATGGCATAAAATTTTGAGTTATTAGGACAAAAATAAATACAAATATAATTGAGATCTTTTAACACAAGTCATTGGAAGCAGGAGCGGCATCCACTTCCTACACAACATGCCTCCGGAAACTCTATGAACTTTGATAAATGACGACAGTTATAGAAAGGCTTCAGGCCTTTTGTTCATAGGGTCATTATAAGTCGTGCTTGACTCAAAGGCAATCAACAACAACAACAACTTCACAAGTGAAGGATCTGAAACTCAGAACTAACTGATAGCTGGTCCTCCAGTGGCTTTTCTGAGGCTGTAAATCTCACAAGAAGAGATTATTTATTTTTCTCCCATGGAGCTGCTGATAGAGTTGAACCTCCAGAGAGACTTTTTGGTTAGCAAATTAATTCCCTACGGAGTATGCCACCAGAAGTCCCTTGTAAGATGTCTCAGAGGAATATTAACTCTCTGTTTGGTTTCTTTGTATCAGGCCTATGAACTTCATCAAGAACTCAAGCGACCTCCCAAGGCCGAATTTCCAAGTGTAGAAATGGACGTCTTTTCTGAAGATGATGATCTAAGAGCACACTGCCCCCGAAAGGTAACTGCCACAGGGCGTTGTCTGCAGGGGCGTTTAGCTGAGCCAGGTGACTTCTGCAGGATAGTGTGGCAAAAGATCAGGATATGTCAGGATTAACGTAAGGAAAATTCCCATAGTTGATTCTTATGCAAAAACCTAGGCCAGAGTTCCTCAGCCTTGGCAGGATGGCACGTTGGGTGAGATGCGTTAAGGAACATTCATCGTCTTATGCACCAAAAGCCAGTAAAATTCCCCTGTTTTGACAATAAAAATGTCTCCAGATAGTACAAAAGCATATTCTGGAGGAGGGACAGATTTGCCTCTGCTTGAGAACCACTAGTCCAGATAGATCATTCCAGGAAAGGAAATAATCGAATAATTGAAAAATCGCAGCTATAGCCTTCCTCGCTGGACCTGGAGTGAAGTAGGTTATAGGGTAGATGGTTTACAGGGAAGAAAGGGTGAAGGTATTGTGTCTCCATTTGCCTTTTGTCTATCAAGGAAGAATAGGCTTCATAGTGGAGCGGAGCTGGGGGATATGTATAAAAATGAAAGCATTTTTCTTTTACTTTTCAAAGAGAAGTCCAACTGGAGGGGAGAGGTGGTCAGGGAGAAAAATGCAACAATGAATGAAAGGAAATCCAAAGTCTTCATTAATAATAATAATGTTGTTGTTATGTGCCATCGAGTTGCTTGCGACTCATAGCAACCTTATGTACAACAGCCCTAAACTCTGCTCTGTCCTGTGCCAATCGCACTGTCCCTGTTACACCCATCCTGATTACCTCAGTCACTGAATCAATTCACCTCATAGAGAGCCTTCCTCTCCTGTGCTGTCCCTCCACCCTCCCAAGTACGATGTCCCTCTCCAAGGACCAGTCCCTCCTTACAATATGTCCAAAGTATGTCAGATGAAGCCTCAGAATCCTTGCCTCCAAGGAGCCTCCCAGTTTAAACCTCTCTAGGCTGAACCTGTTTGTTTTCTTAGCAGTCCATGGAACATTCAATACTCTTCTCCAGCACCACAGCTCAAAGGCATCAATTCTCCTTCTATCCTCCCTAGTCATTGTCCAACTCTCTGATGCATAACAAGTGATTGCAAAGACCATGGCCTGTATCAGACATACCTTAGTCTCCAGAGTGACACCATTACTCTTCAGTACTTTGGAGAGGTCTCTAACAGCAGACTTTTCCATTGCAATACACCTTTTAATTTCCTGGCTCCTGTTGCCAAGAGTGAAGTTCTTTCCTGAAGTGAAAGCTGGCCAGAGCTCTTAGAACAGGATTAATAAGAACTCTTTCACAATATCCATCCCACCTAGGACCCTTTGCTAGTTACTTCCAGCTGAAAGAAGCCTTATAATGAAAAAAACTGGGTCCTTCTATGAGTAGAGAGAATCTTGGTAACTTTCTCCGCTTCTTTCCTGTGTTCTAATGCACAGAAGTCGGACACCACCAGCGTGCTGTCGGAGTGTAGCACTGTGGATCTGACAGATCCCTTTAGGAGGGAATCTGAAATGGTTCCCAAAAAGCAACCAGAGAGATGTTTGCCCAAAGGTAAGTAGCAGGATTTCTGTTCGTCTGTGAAGCTCTGTTGTCTGGGGAGGTGATGTCTTTCTACTTCTCCTGGGGGTAAAAGCAAAGAGGGGACCCACAGATGATTTAGGGAGCAGTATCAGTTTTGGGGAGAGGCAATTTCAGGAAAATCTTATTTTGGAGACTTCTGTGTACATAGTCCCCAAACCAAGATAGATACTCTAGAAATGGTTTTCTAGAAACCCTGTAGTGCTCACACATCTGTCATTTTGTTTAGCTCTAGTATATCCTTTGATAAAGAGTCTGGTCTCGTTAACATTTACACCTCAGAAAGCCAATAAAGGTTCACCAGGAGTCAGAACTGACCCAAAGTTGGTGTGATTGGTTCGGTTCTTCTGCGGGAGCCCTCGTGGTTATGTTAATTGAATTGTTAAATCAAGGATGAGGCAGCCTGATCGCTTAAAGATTGACAGCATCAGAAATTCAGTGGGACAGTTCTATTCTGTCCCGTGACATTGATATGAGTCAGAGCCAATTCCACAACTGTGGGCTACAATGATCTTGATTTACATTAGGATTGGTCTGTGAAGTGTGCCCAGGATGTCAACAGTGAAGATGACAAAAGGGTTCCTAGGAGAAGGAAGGAGTTGGATAAAAGAGGAAAAGCCAGTGTTTTAGAATAGCCTATTGGTGCTTTGAAATAGAGTGAAGGGATCTCACTGGCTTAGGAAGAAGAATAATGCAATGTTACATTTACCATTAAGGGAAAACCAGTAGAATTTGTAGAAGGGGAGCAGGAGATAAGTTGGAAAGGGTGGGGTGGTGTAGTTCATGCTGAAGATTTTTGTGTTCAGAAAAAATGCTCTACTATTTGTAAAGCTTGACAGACCACATTCTTCCCTCTATGACTTGAGTGATTCATGGACTAAACTCACCTTATCTCCCATACTTCCTGGAACACTGTATGTTTACTATTGAAAAAAAAAAAAAAAAGAAGTGGCTGACAGTCAACCACAAAATTAGAATTATGTTTGGGAACTGCTGGTCCCCTGTTCTTTACTCTCTCTGGTCTATCTCATTCCTGGTTGTCTGTCTCGTTATTAATAATTATAAAAATACTTCACCCTCGGTCTCCAACATTCTGGCGCCTGAACCTGGGACAAAGCGGTGGTTTCTCTCTGAATAAGGTGGATGTCTTCCTCTTTCTCTCTCATTTTCGAGAAGACACCAGGAACCGAAAGGGAATTCACTCAGGGAAGATCCTGATTTGATTCACTGAGCCTATGCAAGATCAGTGGATGTGTATCCCAATTTCAGGCCCACTCCCAAGATCTCCCTCATAAGAACTGTGTTTGGCCTTGGGCCCCTCTTCTTCTGGTATTATGTTTTCAAAACTGAAAGAGATAGGAAAGAAAAACTTATCCAAGGAAGGAAAATGGGAATGACCATTTAACATCTCATATTAACAGAAAAGACTATGTATTATTGCTTAGATAAATCTTCTATTAATCATTAAAAAAAACACCCCAAAACAAAACCAACTAGCATGTTGTTAGGTGCCGTTGAGCTGAGTATGACTCCTAGCGACCCTAGGAACAACAGATCTGAACCCTATTTTGTCCTGTGCCAAACTCACAATCTCTGACACACTTGAGCCCATTGCTGCAGTCACTGTGTCAAGCCACCTGGTTGAGGATCTTCCTCTCCTTCACCATCTCCCCATCTTTCCAAGCGTGATGTCCTTCTCCAAGGATTAGCTTTTTTCTACAAGGATGAATATTTATTGTTCATGTATCATCATGATTCAGCCTATCGGGGCTGGATGTCTCTGCTGGTAGTGTTGAATAGGCATCAGTTTATCTGACCTGACTCACCTGGGAGACATGGCTCTGTTCCCCGCATCCATCATCCTCTTCCAGGAGACAGTGGGCTGGCCTGTCTGTGCCTTCTGCATGGAGATGATGCAGGAGAGCAGGAGGAGGCAGGCCAGGTCTCCAGGGCCTGGACACAACTGGTCCATTGTGATTCCTGCAGTGGTGACCAATGCAAGTCACACGGCTGCACCCAGATTCAAAGGTTTGGAAAAAAGATTCTTAGATTCCTTTTCTCTCACGAGAGGAACCACAGAGTCACTTGGCAAGGGGCATGGATATAGCAAGAGGTGAAGAAGAGGTGATTTGCCACCGACAGTAAAGGCCTTCCTCCTGCTGATTTCTTGCAGGTCTGGCTTGGTGCTTCCCGTGCTGTGGCTTGGCCAAGAGAACGTCCTCCTGGGTCACGTGGTGGAACCTGCGGAAAACCTGCTACCAAATAGTGAAGCACAGCTGGTTTGAGAGCTTTATTATCTTTGTGATTCTGCTGAGCAGTGGGGCGCTGGTAAATTATTATGGTCTTGCGGGGGGCATTGGGGATCAAGGCAGCGACGTTTTTAACCTGACCCTTCTTGAGGCTGTGAATGTGGGGAGAGCAGGCTGCAGAACCTTTCCTGCTGGTTCTCCTCGGGAGCCAGGCTTTTGCACAGCAAGTTCTGGTGTTACAGTCCCACTTGGAAAACCTCAAGCAAAAGACATGACCTTTGGGAGGGTGGGGGTAGCTCCTGGATCCCAACCCTTGGTAGGTGGACATCTATCCTTCATATTTAAGGGTTCCTAGACATTTCCACTGCTTCCTTCATGTAGCAATATTTGCTTCTCTTTCCCTGAAGATCATAGTGCTATTTTCAAAATGGTAAAATGCTGCAGGAAGAGAGTCACATGAGAGGTTAGGATATGGAAGTTTGCCTTGGGAGGTCGCCGTTACTCGTGGTCCCTGAGAAAAGAAAAGAAAGGAGGAGATACTGACAAATGTACATGACAGACCCTCCCTGATAGATATGAGACTGGCAATCCCAGTGAAGTCTGGAAGTAACTCTGAATGTACCAGTTTCCTCAGAGATATAGTCAAAGCCTCTGTTCTGTTCTCCTCCGTTTTGAGTCTTCTCCATAATCTCCAGCCCCTTCTCCCTTGTTCTTGTTAGAGGCCTGCTGTCTGTTCTTACTCACAGGGACCTTATTTACAACACGACCAAATGTTGCCCAGTCCTGCTTCATTCTCACAGTTTTTGCTGTGCTGAGGCCCGGTGGTGTCATCATGGTGTCAGTCTGTCTCATTGAGGGTCTTCCTCTCTTTCTCTGCTCCTCTACTTTGCCAAGAATGATGCCCTTTCTTTAGTACTGACCTCTCCTGAGAACATGCCCAAAGGTTATGCAAGGAAATCCCATCCTGGTTTCTAAGGAAAACTCTGCCTTTACTTTTTCCAAGATACGTTTGCTTGTTCTTTTGACAATCAATTCCCTCCCCCACCCCCAACATCACAATTCAAAAGCGTCGAACGTTCTTCAGTCTTCTTTATTCCTTGTCCAATTTTCACATGCATAAGAAATAAATGAAAATACTGTGGCTTAGCTTAAGGACACCTTAGTCTTTAAACTAAAATCTGTGCTCTTTAACACTGTAAAAAGGTTCTGACATTTTGTCCCATGCAATATGTCATTTGAATTATTGACTGTTCCTTCCTTTGGTGTGGGTTGTAGATCTGAGTGAAATGAAATCTCATCTCAATATTTTGAAACAACTTCAATATTTTGCCCATGTACCGTAATTTTGTTCTTCAGTCCATTTGTAAGGATTTTTGTTTCCCTTATGCTGAGGTATGTGTCATCTATACTGAAAGCTTTACGTGAACTTCTTCAGCAAGTGATTAAAGTTCTCATTGGGTTTAGCAAGCACAGTTGTGTCATCTGAAAATTACAGGTTGTTGATGAGTCTTCCTCCAGTCCTGATACCACATCTTCATGTAGTCCATTTTCTTGACTTATTTGCCCAGCAAACAGCTTGAATGAGTATGGTGAAAGGATACAAACTTGACACATACCTTTCCTGATTTTGAACTACACAGTGTCCCCTTGTGTTCTTGAATGACTCCTTCTTGGTCCATATAAAGCATTCCACTTGAGCACAACTGAATGTTCTGAAATTCCTCCCAATGATACTCATAGTTTATTATGATCTAATCAGATACCCTTCCATCAGTTTAACACAAGTAAACATCTTTTTGATATTTTCTCTAATTTACTTAAGATCTTTCTGACATCAGCAATGATATTCTTTGCTTCACAGCTTCTTCTAAATCCATTTTGACGTTAAGATGGTTTCCTGCTGATTTGCTTCTCCAGCCATTCTTTGTCTTCAGCAAGATTTTACTTATGTGTGATATTGTTTGATGATTTCTACATTCTGTTGGATCATTTCCCCCTCTTTTATTTTCTTTTTGGGCACAAATATGAATCGTTTCTAGTTGGCTGACAAAGATTCCAGCTGACTTAACAGGTTTTTGCTTCCACATTTCTTGGCAAGCCCATGCAGGGATCTGTTTGTTTAAACACCTCAATTGGCATTCTGTTCTAAAAGAAGCAGAAACAATATGAGGGAGGCTGAGTCTGATTTCTACCACTTCAAAAGGGGAGCTATCCCCATCAATAAAGTGCGTATAATGACCATATAAATACCTACACAGTCAGACATGCTACCTCACGTGCTTCTGTACCTGTTTATATCATCATTGACCAATGTTTGTTGTAAGACAGACTTTACTCACAGTTGTGGGGTTTATTAGGGGGATAGGTTGGGGAATGAGTGAGGCAAAGTATATCACCCTGTTCAAGTCCAGGTTTAATCCAATAGTCTCAAGCCATACTAAGGCACAATTCCTCAATTAGTATAAATTCAGGTTCCTTTCAACAGCACAAATTCAAGAAGTCTCCGGTTTCCTCAATTACCCAGCAAACATTATTCCAGAGCAGTTATAAGTCAGTTTTTCTTTCAATCATCCAGCAAGCAACAACTTTAACGGTGGCTTTTATCTCCAGGGTTCCTCTAATTACACTTTGCCACTGTTTCTTTACAATCTCTCCACGACTCTCCTTGCTTTTATTACAGTGTATAAAGCCCTCTCTTATATTGGTCCCACAGCTGTTGAAGATTTCTGAGACAATGTGTCCACACTTAAGGAAGCTGGAGACCATACCTCACCTTCTCACAGGAGCTAAGGCAGTGGCATGAAAATCCAATTTTCAAGGGTTTTGACATCCCATCTGTCAATTCCTGGAGCCTTACTTTTTGCCAGTGCCTTCAAATGCAACCTAGATTTCTTCCTTCAGTGCTATGGTACATAGTTCTTCCTCAAATGTACATGGTACTTCCTGAAATGGTTCCATGTCAAACAGTTCTTTTTGGACTCTGTGTAGTCCCTTTACCTTCTTTTGATGCTTCCTTCATTATTCAGGACTTTGCCTATCGAATTTTTCAGTATTATAATTCTAGGATTGATTTTTTTCCCCTTCAGTTCTTTCAACTTAAGAAATGCTAGAGTGTTTTTCTAACTCTAGCTGTTTATACATTTTGCTGTAGTACTTAGCTTTGTCTTTCATCCTGCCCTTTGAAATCTGTTCATCTCTCTTACTTCAGCATTTCTTCCCTTTGTTTTTTCACCTCTTTAGTGCAAGATTCAGAGTCTCTTTTAATATACATCTTGGGTTTTTTTTCCTTTCTTTCCTGTCTTTTGAATGATCTTTTTGCTTTCTTCATGGGTGATGTCCTTGATGTCACCCCACAACTTGTCTGGTCTTCATTCATTAGCATTCAATGAATTAAGTCTATTAAGATGGTCTCTAAATTCAAGTGTAAACCCTAGTTGCAGAGCATATTACATGGTGTACTGCTTACCAAACAGTCAATGGTCTGAATCTTCCAGTTGCTCCACAGGATAAAGAATTACAGTCTCAGAAAGTCTGTGAAGGGTCACGAGTCAGAACTGATTCGACAGCAGTGAGTTTTGGTGCAGAATCACAGAAACACTTTGGAAGAAGAAAATATTTGATGTAGCATGAAAACATTCCAAGACACAGGATGTCTTGTTTTTGTCTGATCACATTTAATGAGTATTTAGTATTCAAAGCAATGACATTGAGATCTCTAGGTCAGAACTTTCACACTCTTTTGTTTGCCCCAGTACACATGCAAAGTGACCTTAGATGGAGTGAACACTGATGCAAATGGATAAGGCAGCTTGAGATGTAAGATGATGGATGTCAATGTCAGCAAGATCTACAGTTTGGATTTGATGTTACAGGCAATAGTGAACCACTGAATAGTCTCTCAAGTAAGTAGACAGATGAAAGAGATGGTGTGTGTCATGGGGTGATTTGAGTAAAAGCCTCATGGTTGGCGTGGGTTGAAAGATTTAGGAAGTCTAGGAAATGATGTGGTGAGAGTGGAGACAGGATAATCCTTTAAGAAGGTGCTTCTATATTCCAGGAGAATAGTTCAGAAGAACTAGAGTGATACAGTGATGTAGAGATCTATCAGTAGGCCTTTCCTTCTTCTACTTTGACTCATTCAAGGGGTCAACCCCATTGGAAAAGGTTACTCTTGACACTGGTTTGAACAACTTTAGAAGCCAAGAGAGATCATTGGCTTACACAGAGCAAATTATGGGGGACGGGGGGTGGGGGGAAGTAAAGTCTGGCCTAGTGGCAAGAAGCTGCACTGCAATCCCAAAGGTGAGTGGTTCGAATCCACCAGATGCTCTGCTGGAGAAGGAGGGACAATCTCCTCCTATACCAGTTAGATATGATTTGACGATACACACACACACAGAGTAAAGTCAGCAAGAAGTTTTTTACAAATACTCAATCTGACTTAAAGTTGTTGGTTTCTTTGTTTGTTGTTGTTTGTTTGTTTTTTCAGATATTTGAAGATATTCACATTGATAACCGACCCCAAATCCAAACATTGCTTAATTTTATGGACTATGTTTTCACAAACATTTTTATTCTGGAGATGGGTCTGAAATGGGTGGCCTTTGGATTTAAGGTTTATTTCACCAGCGTCTGGTGCTGGCTGGACTTCTTAATTGTGATTGTAAGTTTCTCCTCTGTCTCATGTGTGTGGGAGTGCAGAGGGGACCAAACAGGGAGGGGATCATACTGGAGCTGTTTCTCCTATGTGTCTCATCTGTATACTCCTTCGACCTATTTTTCTAGCTATCACATCATCTTCATAGTACTTGTCATTTATCCAACAGTAGCCTAGTCTTCCATGGGTTTCAACCCTGGTACCTTGTGCTTAAATGCTCACCATTCAACTCCTTCTGTGTATAGCACTCATCTACCTCATTCCATAAGCACTACTTCTGTCTGATAGATACACAGACCACCTCTGAGTGCCCTCCATTCCCCCTCTCCTTCAACTTGACGTCTCCTTTCAAGATATCTCAAACAGGGTTAGGAGCTGACAGTTTGAACTGGTCCCTGTCTTGACTGACAAGCAACATAGGAGACATGGTCACCTGATACTCTCATTTAATCTACACCTCAATGTTCTTAAGCAGAGAAATACAACACCTACCACACGACAGAGGAGGAAACCTGAAGGTCAGAAGTTTAAATAGCAACTTGTTTCAGGTCATGGAGTTAATAAAGGATAAAGTCAAGATTTATACCCAGTCCAGATGATATTAAAACTAATAAAGGAAATGTTGCCATTGCTGTTAGCTACTTTTTCACTTTAGAATAAATTTTGACCCACAACAATCTGATGTGTTGGGAGGAGAACTGTTCCATGTTGTTGTTGTCAGGGGCCGTTGAGTTGTAGGTGACTCATAGCGGCCCTATGAACAAAAGTCCTGGACATTTCCTGTATAACTTTCGTCCTTTCTCCAGGTTCATAGGGTTTCCAGAGGCAAGCTATTACGGAAGTGGATGCCACTCCTGCTTCCAAGCTTGTTTTAATGAGGGAGCTCCACCAAATACTGTAACCATTCTCACATTTGACTCCTCAGTGTCCCAGTGTTCGGCTTCACAGCAACCACGAGTTACCTCTGTACAGCAAGTGGACAGACCAGGGTTACACGAGCTAGAAGAATGTTTCGCCAAAAACAATTAAAGACAAGCCAGAGGGCCGTGGAGTAGAGTCACCCACCTTTGACTTGGGAGCATGATTTTCTGTCCGCTACGCCAACTGCTCTAATCTGTTCCAAAGGATTTGAAAACTATGACCTTACAGTAATAGATAGCTAGACCTGTCTTCAGCGGTGCCTTTGAGTAGACTGGAGCCCCTAGGCTTTTATTAATAGTTGAGTGCTTAACTGATTGCACCACCAAGGGACCTCTAATGCTGAACCACATTGACTGATCCTTTATCCAGGAACTCTGTCATGGGCTTCTTATGTATTATTTCTTTTAATTGTCATAGCTACGTGGTCAGGAAGAGCCAGTCCTTGAAGAAAGATATCATGCTTGGAAGGGCAGAAGGATAGCACAGGAGAGGAAGACCTCGGATGAGATGGATTGACACTGTGATTGGGACAGTGGGGGTAGGAGTGTTGGAGACAGTGAGATTGGCTGAGGACATAGGGTCACTATGAGTTGCAGATGACTTGATAGCACATAACAACAACAACAATGACAATTCTATGTAGAGTGAAGAAAAAAAGTAAGGATTTTGTGTCTAAATGTCTCCTCTGTACTTCCTAATCTTGTGGGACAGAAACTGGACCAAAAATCCAGATGAAAAGGTATACAATGTGCTTCTAGAAACACTTTATCCCCATTGATGATAGCTGTGATGCTGAGCTTTGCCGTCCTCCCCCACCTCCCACCACCACTAGGACCAGTGACGTCAAGGACTTCTAGTCCACCAGGTCTAGTGGCATCAAGATTGAAGGAAAACTCATCAATAACCTGCATTATGCAGATGATAGAATCTTGCTTGCTGAAAATGAGGAGGACTCGAAGCACTTGTTGCAGAAGAGCAAAGAAAACAACCTTCAATATGGATTGCGTCACAATGTTAAGGAGACAAAGATTCTTACCACCGGACCTATAGGCTACATGATGGATGGAGTAAAGATTGAAACTGTCAACAACTTCATCTTACTTGGATCCACAATCAGCTCCCTTGGTACCAGCAGTCAGGAAACCAGGAGATGCATTACACTGAAAAAGTCTGCAGTTAGGGACCTCTTCAAATTACTGAGGAGTAAGATGTCAGTTTGAGGACTAAGGTGTGTCTGATTCAGGCCATGGTCTTTTCAATCATTTGCTATGCATCTGAGAGCTGGACAGTGAATAAGGATGACAGAAGAATTGATGCACTTGAGATGTAGTGCTGGAGAAGAGTACTGAACATCTTACGGATGGCCGAAAGAACAAACAAATATGTCTTGGAGAAAGTGCAGCCAGAGTGCTCTTTGGAGGCAAAGATGATAAAGCTTCACCTCACATACTTCGGGCATGTTACTAGGTGGGGCTATTCCTTGGAGATGGACATGATGCAGAGGGTCAGCAAAGGAGAGGAAGATCCTCAACCAGGTGGATTGGCATGGTGATTGCCACAATGGACTCTAATGTGTCAAGAAGTGTGAGGACGGCACAGGATAGAACAGGGTTCAGATATGTTCTTCATAGGGTGGCTATAGGTCAACTTGACTCAACAGCACCTAACAACAACAAAGCAACAATTAATATTATTTACTAATGTAAAAAACTATACAATGAAAGCCATCAAAATGAAAATATTTTTAATTTATTGCTATTTCTTAAGTGAAGACATTTTTAAACTTTGTTACACTGCTCTATTAACTCTTAAATGGCAAATGTTTTCCTAGTACAATCTAGTTGGTAGACTTAACGTGGGACAGTTTTAGATAATGAACTCTGAAGTCAGTTTGTTAGTTGTGTTATAATTCACTTCCTTGACAGCTGAGCAACACTTCTTCAAGTTGAATCTCTGTCTAACCAATAAGATTCTTTTAAAAAAATTATTATTATTAATTTTAATGAAAATTTACAGAGACTTTGGATTTCCATTCATTCATTGTTGCACTTTTCTCTCTGCCCACCTATCCCCTCCATCCCAGTCCACTCTTCTCTTTGAAAAGTAAAACAAAAAGTCTTTCATTGTTATACAATCCCTCCCCTCAAGTCCACTCCACTATGCAGCCTTCATTCTGGACTCCTGTCATGGCAATAATACCTAATCATGTATCCCTTTTACACCATTTTCTCTCTCATCTGTTTCAATGTAGTACATATTATTTATTCTAATAAGAACGGCTGAAGACTGGCAAAAAAGGGTCTTCAATTTAAAGTCAATGTACCTTTAGGTTATAATTTAGTGAATTTACAGAATTTCCCATCCCTTAGCCCTTTGCTTTCATGGACAAAATGTTGAGAAAGAAAGTTATATTTAATTTTTCAAAAAGGAATTATTTGAGTAAGAAAAAGTATTATCCAGAAATTTAGTATTTCTTTATAACTTTTAATTGTCATACACTTTAAAATGTACAGAAAGAAAAGACATACTGCAAAGAGCATGTTACAGCCTTTTGCATAGTCATCAATTGTTAACATTTCACCTCATTTGCTTTGTTGTTTTCTCTCTCTCACTATTTTTTTCTAAATACTTGAAATAAAGTTGGGGACATCATGCTCCTTATTTCCCTGAACATTTCAATGTGTATTTCCTAAGGACAAGGACACTTGCATACAATGGCAGGAATTATCCAAGTTAGGAAAGGTACCATTGCATTGTTACTATGATAACTCAGAACCCATTTTTACATTTTGTCAAATTATCCCACTATAAAGTCTTTATATCTAATTTGCTCTCCCAAGTAAGATTTAATCCAAGTCTCCACATTGCATTTAATTTTCACACTTCCCTGCTTTCTTGAATGAAAAAACACTTCTGGGGAACTTCTTTCTCTTTAATTGAACAAGAAGTGCATATACATAGTTCTCACTTTTATAGATTGCAGCTTTGCCAGATTATGAGTCAAATGGACTTTAGAACTTTTCTCCCCTTTGTTCCAATCCCTGAGCAGCCAATGAGTCTGGTTTGTTGATATGGACACAATGACACAACCTGTTTTACCCCCTCAGAATAAGGACTCTGGATTCCTCCACCAGATTCTTTGGACATACCATCACCTCTGTCACCTGTTGCTTCTCTCCCTGGTAGGTCTCTGTGACCAGTCTCGTCAATCTTCAAAACTCCACAATCTTCAAATCATTCCGGATCCTACGAGCCTTCAGACCCCTTCGAGCACTGTCCCAGTTTGAAGGAATGAAGGTACATTGTTCAGATGGATGGGAGAGACCCTCAACTAGCTAAGCAAAGACATTAGTTCCTCATGGACTAAAAATTCCTTCAATTAAAAGAAACATTCCTGGGTTTCTTTCCACCCAGCCCATTGCTTAGAATCTGAAAGATGTAGAGAAGGCTGTCTTTTCTAACATTTCTGTGGCCGCCAAGAAGGGTTCTGACTCAGAATCCTAAACCAGGAATTCCATAAGGCCATCATTGGACGGCACTTCTCAAGTTCTCAGTAGCAATAGAAAGGAAACACTATGGAAAACTGCTGACTCATGGAGCTGGGAGAGGGGAGAGGGCAGGGGATGGAGAAAGAAGGTACAGCTTGAAGAAATGCAGCCTGAGAGTCAAGGGCGTGGGGACTTGTGCACACCTCTCACAGGGCTTTTCTCCTCTTTCGTTTCTCTGAGGTGGTGGTCAGCGCTCTCATTGGGGCCATTCCTGCCATTGTGAATGTTTTGCTAGTCTGCCTCATCTTCTGGCTCATCTTTTGCATTCTGGGAGTAAACATCTTCTCTGGGAAGTTTGGAAAATGCATTAATAATACAGATAAAAGCTCAGACGTTAATTATGTCAACATTACAAACCGAAGTCAATGCATCAACGCCGGCAAGCCATACTGTTGGACCTACCTCGAAGTGAACTTTGACAACGTGCCGATGGCTTACCTCGCTCTGCTGCAAGTGGTGAGTGCCCTTGGCATATTTTCTTTGGATTTTAGGGTATTTTTTGTTTTGTTTTGTTTTTTCCTCTGAGGGTAGAGGAAATTATTTCTCAGCTAATAAAACTGTACACTCTCCATCTGAGCTCATGGTCAAAGGGGACGGACACCTTAAATTTTTCCCTACTGAACATCTTCTACTTTATTGGTCACTGAGTCTCAATCTCCAGCTGACACCACTATAAAAGTCTGTAAATCTCGCCTCATTCTACATGCCATCTTGCTCTCCAGAGCTCAGCCAAGTGAGACATGAAGGAGTCTGAGATGCCAGGCCATCCATTAAGAATGCCTTTGTCTTTTGAAATTTTTTTTGTTTGCTTACGATAATTAATTTATATTGTGCTTTATTGATGCACATTGTGCTTCGTACAACCATTTATGTGCATTGTATTTTATATAGTTCATGTTAATCTGTGCCTATTTTTACCCCGTCTTTTCAAGTCCCCACTGAATCTTTCCTATTCCTTCATACAAACACACACACATCCACCCACCAAACTCTGCTATCCTCTGCTACTTTTCCCATTTTCCATCCATTCCCCCTTTCCATTTCCCACAAATGATTGTCCGAAACAGACAAGTGAGAATAGCACAGCCCCGTATCACTCCAGAGAGGAAGCAGATAAAGAGCCCATAGCCTAGCCCCACGGTACCTCTAGAGTCCTAATGTCAGGGACAGAAGGGGCTAGGTCAAGTGGAAGCCACCCTGAAGGTACAATGATTAAAACAGCTAAGTGTTCAGACACTGACTAAAATGAGAGGTTAAGCCTACCAGCTAACTGTTCCACAAGAGAAAGTTGCAGTCTGCTTCCCTAAAGATTACAGCCTTGGAAACACAGGGAACGAGGGGGATGGGAGGGGGGAAATGAGGGAGAGAAGCAGTGTGGGAAGCACTATCTCTCTTACCCTAGACCCACAGCTGTTGATGATTTGCACAACCCTGTATCTGCAATTAAGGTAGCTGGAGACAAGAGGTAAAAAGGCTAAGGTAATGGCTAAAAAGCCAACTTTAGGCTAAAATGTTACCATATTGTATTCCTTATCTTTCTATTTTTACAATCATGATCTTATGAAGTGTTTATTCTTAAGAGACTGAGTTAGTTCACTCAGCATAATGATCTCCAGATTCATTCATATTACATAGTGTTTTTAAAAAAATAAAATATTTATTTTATACTGGTTTATTTACAAAGTTTGTATATATTGTTTTTTGCACTGGAACTTTCCCATTTCCTTTACCTACCCCTCCCTCTACCCATCACATTGTGTGGCCCTATGATTACTCCCCTGCCCATCCTCACCCTTCTGCTCCTGCCCTCCTCCCTTTGGATCCTCATACATATTTTACTAGTTATCTTTCTATTTCTACAGTATACACAGTATTTGTCCTTATGGGACTGAATTACTTCATTTAGCATAATGTTCTCCAGTCCCTCACAAATTATGTATTGATTTTCAAAATTACTGCTCCTTGGCACACCCATGTTTATTGCAGCTTTGTTTGCAATAGGAAAAAGCTGGAAACAACCCAAGTGCCCATCAACAAATGAATGGATAGAGAAGCTCTGGTATATTCACACAATGGAATACCACGCTGCATTGAAAAACAAGGAACTCATGAAATATTATACAAAATGGGTGACCCTGGAGGACATTATGCAGAGAGAAATATCTCAGTCACAAAAGCACAACTACTCCATGGGGCCCCTGTTGAGAATGACAGCAGGGTTGAGGGAAGTCAGAGAAGGAGGGGATGAATGATGCATATTACATTGAAACAGATGAGGGAGAGAACTGTTTAAAAGGGACATATGAATGGGTATTCTTGTCATTACAGAAGTCCAGAGTGAAGGCTGCATAGTGGAGTGGACTTGGGGGTGGGGGGGATTGCATAGCAACAAAAGAGTTTTTCTTTCTTTTCAAGGAGAAGAGTGAATTGGTGGGGAGGGGGTAGGGAGGGAGAAAAGTGCAACAATAAATGACTAGAAACCTAAGTCTCTGTAAACTTTCATTAAAATTAAATTTAAAAAAAAATCACTGCTCCTGCATTCTGCGTAGTAAGTATTCCATTGTGTGAATGTACCATAATGTTTTAATCCATTCTATTGTGGCTGGGTAATACAGTATTTTAAGAAATCAGTTTCTTTTTGCTGCATAATATTCCACTGTGTGCATGTACCAAAATTTCTGAATCTGTTTGTTTGTTGATAGGCATTTGGACTAACTCCACATTCTTGCTATTGTGGATAATGCTGGTATAAACATAGGTGTACATATCTCTGTTTATGTCTCAGTTCTGATTTCCTTGGGTTATATTCTTAGCAGTGTAATAGTTGGGTCATGTGGAATTTCTGTGTTCAGCTTTTTGAGGAAACATCAATACTTTTCTCTTATTGGAAGTCAGCCCCAGGTCAAACCACAGTTCCCAGGTCTTACCCAGATATTGAAAGCAGATGCAGCTTCCAGAATGAGGACCCAAGACTTAACCAGGGAAGCAAAATGTTTGGTTCACAGCATCGCAAACAATTTTCTAAAGTGGAAATTTAATTTTTAATTTTTTTTTATTGTGGATAAATGAAGATGGAGAAGAAAAAAAATAAAACAAAACCCTGGTACACCCTATTCTTGAGCTTCCTTCTACTTTTGTTGGGTTTGTTTGGTTGTTTTTAAATTTTATTTGAGCATTCTATCCTGGAAGGGAGAGACAACATCTTTAGAACATCGTTCTACTGGGCCTTACTTGCTTGTTTTATATGACTTGACTCTGTTGACAGTGTCTACAATTATGTTTATATTTCTTTACTTTTATTACAGGCAACATTTAAGGGCTGGACAGATATTATGTATGCAGCTGTTGATTCCAGAGAGGTGAGACTGTGTTTTAATATATTACAGAGTCTATCAGTTCAGGTTTATCATGCAGTAGACAGGCCAGAACTTCATGTGCTGTAGTTCCAGCTGCTAGGCTGTCTCTTCCTGTTTTTCTTGGAATGTAACACTGTGAAATTATTGAAATTATTCTGTTAAAAAGTTCTTTAGAATTTCTTGGTGTATCTGGTACCTTAGCTGCTTCAGAATTTAATCTTCTTCTCTGTAGTGAGGAGGAGAGATAGTATCTCTCATACATGTGAGAGATAGTGTCAGAAACAAAAGAATCACAAGAAGCCTTGATTTTATTCCATCTCACCTCTTCTCCAAATGATTGGTTAGACAGAGGCTAAATTTCAAAGGGCATTTCCCCTTGGCTGTGGGAAAGACCTTAGATCTGGATTAAATCTGACCAAACTTGAGGGGAGGGATTATATAACAATGAAAGAATTTTTTTTTTCTTCTTCACTTTTCAAAGAGAAGAGGAACTGGGGAGGAGGAGGTTGGGCAGGGGATAAATTGCAACAATGAATGAATGGAAATTCAAAGTCTCTGTAAACTTTCATTAAAATTAATTAATTAAAATTAAAAAAGACACCCTCCCACAGCCTAGGCTCTCCAGAAACTAAAAGGGTTTGTAGTGACTGCCAACTGTTTAAAGCCAAATAGAAAATGATCATGGGTGTACAATGTTAGAAGAATACTCAATAATTTAATCCATTTCTATTCCCTACTTGATGAAACTGAGGGATAAAGAAAGAGAATTGTCCAAAATCAATTATTTGAGTCAAGAAGGGAATAAAAATTGCTGTCCCGTCCTCCTCCCCCGTCATAATGCTTATGTATCATGTATGTGTTGTTTATTCAGAATAGCTAAGTTGATTTCTGATGTATAGTAAGTATTCAATATATATGAGCTTGCAGTAAAACTCTTAACTCACAGTTGATCCTTCACTGGGTTTCCAAGGCAGTAAATTGTGTGAGAGGAGATTGTCTATCTTTCTCCTGTGGAGATGCCAGTGAATTCAGACCGCCAGAGAGGCACAGTTTTTGGGGGTTAGCAGCACAACTTCCTATGGATTGTGCCATCAGAGTTAGACGTATACAAATAGTCTTGTAGAAGTAACAGAGATAACTTACCAAAAAAGGGACATATTTTTAAACTAATAATGCCCTCATTTTTTTCTATCATCTTTATGATGTTTACATTAGGTTGCCCTAATGTAAGGGTGGGGAGGAGATCTTATCCAGATGTCTATGGCTTACACAAGCTCCCAGAGTGAATGATAGGTGTGGGCAGTGCCCGCACTGGTGTTGATCTTGGGGTGTGCTTACTGGTCTATGCTGGCATCTAACATGATGATCCTTGTCAAGGTGGCTGACCGGTAAAACCATGAGTCATTTTCTCCTTTAACTCACTCATCCTGGTCTCAAAAGCAGTTTCCCTCCCCACCCCACCTTCTTATCCTCTACATGGCCCGCAGACACAGCAATTTACTCCCGCTCCGTGCTGTGAGGCCCACCACTCTGGGCTGTGAGGCCCACCACTTTGGGCTGTGAGGCCCACCACTCTGGGCTGTAAGGCCCACCACTCTGGGCTGTGAGGCCCACCATGACTGTCAGCTTCATGTCCAATCCATGTGGTCACTAGAGGGAAATTCAAGAGACAATGCTACTCTCAGCTACATAGATTGACACAGTGACTGCCGCAGTGGGCTTGAGGGTGTCTGAGATTGTGAGGATGTCACGGGATAGGACAGGGTCCAGATCTGTTCACAGAATCTCTATGAATCATACTTCTAAGAACAACAACAACAGGCTACTCTATTCTCCTTTCCTAATATATATATTTTCCAGGTCTTCTCACTACAGCCATTTTCCCCAAGAAAAAGAAATGGAAAACTAAGCACATTTTATATCTTCCATATGCCCTCAAATCATGGTAGACCCAGAGAGAGAGAATCAGGACACACATCTCCAGGCTCTGACTTCCCCTCTTGTCGCCCACAATTCCCCAAGACCAAGCTCGGTGAGCTTCTGTCTTTGTTCCTATCTGAACCTTCTATCCCTTCAAGCTGTTGATATGTCAGGAAGGACTTGGTGGATTTTTGCACAGTCCATAACATGTTGGATGGCTCACCAAAAGGCTCCATGTCTCCAGTGGTTCGAATCTGCCAGAAGCTTAGGAGAGAAAGAAAGATGGACAGCCTTGTCGAGAATTACAGCCTCGGAAACCTAAAGAAGGGTGCTGTGAGTTGGAACCAGCAGTGAGGTTTTTCTTCGTTTTTATCTCAAGGCAATAACTTTTTTTATTGTGTTGTTGCTGTTGTTAGGTGCTGTTTAGTCAAGTAGGACCCACAGTGACCTTATGAACAAGCAGCCTGAATCTTGTCCCTCCTGTGCCATCCTCATCATCTCTGATATACTTGGGCCCATTGCGACAGTCACTGCAGTCCGTCTATTAAAAAACCCAAACCCACGGCTGTCAAGATAATCCAAATTTATAGTGACCTTCCGTTGGGATTCTGAGGCCAGAAACCCTTTAAAGGAGAGAGTAGCCATCTTTTCCCCCCCACTATGTGTCCGGTGATTTGAACCACCAGCTTTTTGTTTCACAGTTCAACTTGGGATACACAAAGCCACCAACATATTTTTCCATAAAATTATGGGTCCACTGCATAATCTTATTTAAAGGCCAGATGCTGAATAGTCTTTTTGTTTGTTTGTTTCTGATACGCCATTACTATAATAATGCCTGTTGTTGTTGTGTACCATTCAGTCAGAAACAACCCCTTTCAGTGGGTTTTCAGAGACTCACATAGAGTATGAGGAGATGGCCATTCCTTCTCCTGAGGAGTAGCTGGAATATTCGAACTGCTTGCCTTTGGAATTGTGGAGCAAATTCTTACCACTCGGCCACCAGAGCAATAATAATAATAAATGTTCCAAAAAATGGACACCTCAAGTCACCTGAGACTAAGATCAGCTGTGTCGTCACTGTGTCAATTCACCTGGTTGAGAGTCTTCCTCTCCTTCGCTGTCCCTCCATCTTTCCAAGTATGAAATTCTTCTCCAAGGAATAGTGTCTCCTAGCAACAGGCCCAGAGTGTGAGAGAGAAGCTTCATCATCTTTGTTTCCAGCAAGCGCTCCAGCTGCACTTCCTCTGAGAGACCTTCTCCATTTGTTCTTTTGACTGTCCATGGGCTATTCAGCTAGTGATTGAGTATAAACCACCTTTGTCACCCAGACACCTGTGAAGGTACGCTGGGCACTAAGAACTTAATGATGAATAAGGTATCACCACGGATTAGATAGGACAGATAGAGAATATAAAGGCTGTGATGGTCAAACGTTGGTAATTGAGCCAACCTTGCCTGAGGTCTTCATCTTTAGCTCCCCTCCTTCAATTACTTTCCCCGCACTGAGCACCGGAGATCTCTTGCTGTGGACACAGATGACTGTGCCACACCTCTGCCTCTCCTTTACTTAAAAGAAAACCCCCAATTTTCTCACCCCCTGCAAGTGAGCGAGAGGACATGGGAAGATGCCTCTTTCCAGAGGCCCTGTTTGGCTCGGGGCAGCTGGATGGTTAATACTATTACTGAGAAACACTTTGGTCTCTGACTAAAACAGATAAAGACAGCAATAAGAATACAGTCCTTTTAACTGGGTGGGTTCTAACTCATTGTGACTCTACAGAACAGGGCAGAATTGCTCCAGAGGGTATCCAGAGTGATGAATCCGTAGGGTGAGCTGCTGTTAATCCAAAAGTCATTCCTCTCTGGTGGTTCGAATCCATCTGCTGCCCTACAGGAGAAAGATGGGCAGTCTCCACCTTTCTGATTTACAGTCTCAAAGAAATCCACTGGACGCTCAGCCATGCGTCTGGTCCAACTTGACAGTACGAGTTTATTTGTTTTGAAGTATTTCTAGCCTCACTTTTCCATGGAGAAGCAGCTGATGGGTTCAAACCACCAACCTTTAGATTAACCACTGATCATTTTAACCCCTGCACTGCCACGACTCTTTACCATGACTTTGCTTCTTTTCTAGTAATTATTCTTGTCTCTCCTTTTAAACACACCCTGACAGCCAAATGAACAGCCAAGGTTTGAGGACAATAAATTCATGTACCTCTACTTTGTCATTTTTATCATCTTTGGATCATTCTTCACCCTGAATCTCTTTATTGGTGTTATTATTGACAACTTCAACCAGCAGCAGAGAAAGATAAGTATCCTTGGGTTGTCCTGACTTGGTAATTTCATCTCTCTTTTCCAAAGAGCTTGAATGGATCATAATTCTGGTCTAGATGGCTGTTCCAAGTAACCATTATCATCCACACAGAAACAAATGTGGGGTTACCTGCTCCCTTGAAGAAGATTCTCCAAGATGAGACTGAAAAAGACTTAATAACACTTGCGTTTTAGTTAATACGTTTTTTTTTAAACTCTGTCTTAGCCTTTTAATCAATGCACATTGTTACCGTTAAGATTAAGCCTGACAGTAATTGAACCTCATTAGATCAGTAGCCGGAAGGATTAATATTCATGACATTATAGACACATCTAAAAGGTACTTTGCTTTTCTGCTGAGCCTTCAACCCATTTAAAGAGTTTACTTTGGGGGAGATAATTTAAGGACGTGTTGTTAGACATCCTCAAGGCCCTTTTGATTTGTGTATGCAGAGTAAAATGGCTTCAGGAGTCACGTTTTAATAACCTTTCAAGTGTACTTTGTTACCTGAGGTAAAAACCATAAAACTCCCCAAAACACACATTCTCCTCATTCACCAAATGTGTGCCCTGACCTCCAACACCTAAACCTCGACAGATTTCCCCTCTAAATTGGAAAGATGGCGAGGAAGATACAGGGCTAGAGGGAATTTTTTTCCCTGTGTCAAATTAAACAGATGTTTCTTTTTCTTTGTCTAAAAACTATAGGAGAGTTGTAGTTAATTAAGGAAATGGAGGAAGATACAAAGAAAAGTTAAACTACTCACAGGGTTGCTGCTTCATGCCATCAAGTTGGTTCATAGCTGACTCTATGAGGTTTCAAATGCTATCGATCACATTGGAAGAGAATTGCCATCTTTCTGCCTTGGAGAAGTTGGTGAATTTGAACAGTGAATCTTTGGGTTGACAGAGCAACTGCTTATCACTAAGCCACCAGATCTTCCTACCCATAAGGCAGTGTTGTTTTTATATTTTGTTTTGTTTTGAACACGTGATGAAACTTGCCACAGTGCCTTTTATTCTTTTTGTTTTACCCCAAATATTTTACACAATTGAGATTGTACTATACTTTTAGTCTTGTGGTTTTCTCCATTTAATTGAATCTGGGCCATGGAATCATCTCTTTTTCTGGAAAGCCTAAGACTTTCCCGAGATTTAATGAATTACACTTCATGTTGTGGATAAAGCACAATTTAGTCTCATCATTCCCCTCTGTCAAGAAATTTAGGGTGTTTCTAAATATCTTGCTCTTCTGAAACAATTATAAGTATTCCTGAGCTTCTCTCTGTGCATCTGGATATTTCCTTAGGATGAAATAAATCTAAGAAATTAAAATGTGTTCCCAAATTACCTTCCAGAAACACTGTGCTGGGTACTCTTCTGCAGGGTATGGAAATGCCAATTTGTCTGTTCTCATTATTCCGAGTGTTAGAACTTTCTTTTGTCTTTTCTTGTTTGGTGGGTAAACATGTGGTCTCATGTATTTTAATATTTTTCATCATTAGTGAGGTAACACTTTTTTTTTAAACAGGTTGATAGTCATCAGGATTTCTTCTCTCTTCATATCCTTTGAGTACTTAAATATATGTTGTTGTTGTTGTTTGGTGCCATCGAGTTGTAGACGACTCATAGCGACCCTATGAACAAACGGCCTGAGCACTGTTTGTACAGAGTTTCCGGAGGCAAGCCATTTCGGAAGTGGATGCTGCTCCTGCTTCCAGGCTTGTTTTAGTTGGGAAGCTCCAGCCAACACTGTCCACCATGGGTGCCCATTATCACGATTGGCACATCACTGTCACAGTCTTCAGCATCACAGCAACACGAGTTACCTCTGCACAGCAATGCACAGACTAGTGCTATACCACCTAGAAGATTTTACATTTTTATTGGGTACACTCTATATAGGAACCCTGATTGTTTAGTGGTTAGGTGCTCAACTGTTAACTAAAAGGCCAGCAGTTCTAACCTGCCTGACATTCCATGGGAAAGAGGTTAGGATAATCTGCTTGCAGAAAGATCACAGCTTTGGGAACCTACAGGGAAGTTCTGCTCTGTTATCCTGTCATGTCGGGGTGTGTGTGTATATACATGTGTGTATATGTATGCCTCTGTGTGTGCGTGTACACACACACACACACACACATAACTCCAGAATACTCAACCTCATTGATATCCTCTCAAAACTGCCTCCTAGGTGGTCCTCCAGTGGCTTTTCAGAGACTGTAGATCACACTGGAGGAGACTGTCCATCTTCCTTCCTCAAAGCCACTGGTGGATTCAAATTATTAGATGTGAATTCAAACTATTAGAGGTGAATTCAAACAATTAGATGCCACCTTTGGGATAGCAGCATCCCACCCTACAGACTATGCCACCAAAGTTCCCCTGTTGTTGTTGTTGTGTGCTGTCAAGTCACTTGTGACTCACAGTGGCCCATGCTTAACGGCTCTGAACCCTGCCCTATCCTGAGCCAGTCTCACTGTCTACAACCCACCTACCCTCATTATGCCAGTTACTGTATCAGTTCATCTCATCTTGGGTCTTCCTCTCCTGCGCTGTCCCTCCACCCTTCCAAGTATCATGTTTCTCTCCAAATATGTCTATATCCTTATCTCTATCTGCCTATATCTATAAACATAGATTGTTGCTGTTGTTGCTCTATGCCACTGAGTCAGAACTAACTCACAGCTGACTCTAGTGCGTTGTCATAGGCAATAAATCACACAGGAGTTGACTGCTTATCTTTATCTCATATAAACATATATATATACAGATAGCTACATATATAGAAACATGCATATGTATATCTTTTGCTTTATATATAACAAAACCTTTACCACGTATAATATTTTTTTAAATTTTGTTATTATTTTGTGTGCGTGTACCGTCAGATCAGATCCAACGGACACAGGAGGAGATTGCCCCTCCTCTCTGGTGGATTCGAACTGCATGCCTCTGAGATTGAAGTGCAGATTCTTGCCAGGCCACCAGAGCTCTCTCATGTATAACATTTTTAACATGTTCAGTTCAGTGACAATAATCACCTTCGTCATGTTGTATAACCACCACTTGTATCCATTTCCCGTTTTTCCCATTGCTCTTGACAGAAGATCAGTGCCCTTTTCAAAATTGGAATTGTCATCGTTTCATGTTTTCATACCGCAAATTCAGTTTGTGGCTTGCTTTTTAGATCCATGTCCTGATTTTTTCAAATTGTAAACAATTAGAATTTTTATGACATCGATTTGCCAGTCTTTATTAGTTTTGTCTTACATTTATATCCTAGTTGGTTTAGGACTGCCTCTACCCCACCCCCCCAACATCCTTCTCAGTGTCTGCTGGGAAAGTCAGTCACTGTCCTTCTGCAACTTCCTTGCTGCTGCTGCGAAGGGTTGTGCTGCCCCGAGTCACCTCCACAATGTCCAGCCTGATTGTAATCAATCCCTGAAGTGTGGACGTCAGCCTTTGATATTTCAGATGTAGGTTTACATTTGAAGCCACTATTCTGATCAATCCACACTGCATTCTTGCTTTGTTTAATTTGCTTTTTTTAGACGAATCTCAAACACGCACAAGAGTATAGAGTAGCACCAACCCTAAATACTTATCACCCAGCACAGCATTTATTGTCTTAGGAACCTCTTTTTATCCTCTATGTCTTTACCCAACCCTGATACCAGATTTTTTTATACTGTAAATCACAGCCATCACATTTCGTCCTTAAGTGTTTCTCATGGAATATTTTAAAACATGACCATGACTTCTAATGACACCTAAAAAGTTGAAGACCACTGTTCGGATTTAGAATTTTTGTAGCATCGATTTGCCAGTCTTTAATAAGCTTTTCATTTTTTAAATTTTTTTTACATTGGTTTGCTTACTAAGTTTGTATACACTGTGTTTTCATTCTTTTTTTAAAATTTTCTTATTTTTTTGTGCATTGTACCATCAAATCAAATCTGACTGGTACAGGAGGAGATTGTCCCTCCTTCTCCAGCAGAGAATCTGATGGATTTGAACCAGGCACATCTGGGATTGCAGTGCAGCTTCTTGCCACTAGGCCACCAGAGCTCCCTTATGTGTTTTCATTCTTTGTATACACTATTCTTCATTCACATTGTGCTTCATATAATCATTCCCACATATTGTTGTTGTTGTTGTTATGTGCCGTCGAGTCGCTTGCGACTCATAGCGACCCTATGTACAACAGCCCTAAACCCTGCTCTATCCTGTGCCAATCTCATTGCCTCTGACACATCCATCCCGATTACCCCAGTCACTGAATCAATCCACCTCATAGGGGGTCTTCTCCTCCTGCGCTGTCCCTCCACTCTGCCCAGCATGATGTCCCTCTCCAAAGACCTGTCTCTCCTTACAACATGTCCAAAGTATGTCAGACGAAGCCCCAGAATCCTTGCCTCCAAGGAGCAGCCTGGTTTAACCCTCTCTAGGATGAATCTATTTGTTTTCTTGGCAGTCCATGGTACATTCAGTACTCTTCTCCAGCACCACAGCTCAAAGGCGTGAATTCTCCTTCTGTCCTCCCTATTCATTGTCCAACTCTCTGATGCATGACAAGTGATTGCAAAAACCATGGCCTGTATCAGGCGCACCTTAGTCTCCAGAGAGACACCGTTGCTCTTGAGTACTTTAGAGAGGTCCCTAACCACAGACTTTCCCATCGCAATATGTTTTTTTATTTCCTGGCTACTGGTGCCAAGAGTGTTGACCATGGAGCCGAGCAAACTGAATCTGTGAACAATCTCAATCTCTTCACCATCCATCCTGATGCTACCAATTGGTCCAGTGGTGAGAATTTTTGTCTTCTGGACATGGCCATCATTACCCTCTCTTTTCATGTCCCAGCTGAATCCTTTCTATTTCTTTTACCTCCTCCTTCAACCCACCAGGTTGTGCAATCTTGTGGTTTCATCCCTTTTCATCCTCACCCTTCTGCTCTCTCTCCTTCCTCCCTTGGGTCTTCCTACATGTTTTACTAGTCATCCTTATATTTTTACAATAATGGTCTTATGTAGTATTTGTCCTTATGAGATTGAGTTAGTTTGTTCAGCATAATACTCTCCGGTCCATTTTTTAAAACAAGCTACTTATATTAAAGTGTTAGAATTTCATTCTACCACCACCCCTCCACCCCTCCACCCCCCAAACCAGAATTAAAATAAGGTCCTCCCATTTCACAGTTAGTTTTCTTCTTCTCTACAATAACAAGGTGTCTGAGAACCAGGTGGAACATTTCCCATTCCAGACCGGGAAGCAGCCATTTCTCTGTGAAACACTGCATTCTTCAGCTGGGAATGGTGTTAAGATTACGGACCTAGGGAGCTCTGGTGGCCTAGTGGCAAGGAGCTGCAACTACAATCGCAGAGGCGCACGGTTCAAATCCACCAGATGCTCTTCAGGGGAAGGAGGGACAATCTCCTCCTGTAGCAGTCAGATCTGATTTGACGGTACACACACACAAAAATTTAAAAAAAAAAAAAAGATTACGGACCTAATCACTATTTCTAGTCTTTTCAGTGGGCAAAGCTACTTCACCTCTAGGCCTAGAGAGAAATATATATGTGGAAATTTGTAAGGTGATCATTCAAATTTAGGACTAAAAAGTTTTCACTTAATCTCTTCTCTACATTATCTGCATCTCCCCTTCTCCTCACCGGGAAATCCGGTTCTTAGAGGCCCAGAAGATGATGGGATTAGCAATTTCCACAACTTTTCATTTCCTGCTTCTCCACACAGCACACAAGACATTCAGAACAACAGCATTAATACAATCATGACAAATAGAATTACAAAAAGCATTTGTCACCCCAGTGCATCTCAGAACAACCTGCTTTAGGTCTAAGGCTGTTACTCTACGTCCATGCTGAGGGTGTAAGTTCAAATTCCAAGCATTCGTTTAAAACAGTCAAGAGTGGCCAATTGCCAGCAGGGCTGAAATAGCCATGTTTGCTCATGTCTATTTTCCACGTTTTCATAGAGAAAGCAGCCTTTGGGAAGTCCAGGTTCATCCAGGAACCCTGCCCTTCACATAAATCCACTGCCTCTAGTGCTGACTCCATCCTGGTTTTTAAAGAGTCTAGTTTATGTCAAATCAGGTCTGAGCCCAGAAACCTCAAATGCTGCAGAGTAGAACTGTTTCCAAGGATTTTTAAAAATCATAATCTGATAGATCTAGACATGGTGTTGTTGCATGGGAGGAGATTGCCCGCCTTTCTCCCTCAGAGCCTCTGGTGACCTTGAATCACATGCCTTTGGGCTTGCAGTGCAGCTTCTTGCCACTAGGCCACCAGAGCTCCCTAGACATAGACATGTTGTTGTTAAATTCGAGCACGACTCATAGCGACCCTATGAACAAAACACCTGAACCCTGTACTATAACTATTGTCATTTCTCTATGTTCGTAGAGTTTTCAGAGGCATGTGGTTTAGGAAATGGATACCACTCCTGCTTAGATATAGATACTTTTTAAAAAATCTAGTTTCTAGAGATTGGCAAATACCTTTGATGACTCATAACTTTGGAGGCAATTTCACTTTGTTGTTATTTTCTTTTTGTTGTTGGTGGTGTTATTTTCTTTTAGAAAATCTCTTTTGAATTTTAGATCCTGGATGTTTTCTTTACCTTTGCCCAAGTTCAGCTATACACTTAGTAGAAATTCTGTTTTGTCTTACCAGTGTTTCTGGATAGTTTATGCTTAAATTTCTAGAAAATAAAATCCCAATTCATTGCTTTAACTCTTTATTGCTCAAGAGTGAAAACTCTGCAAATTCTGTCCCTTCAAACTTACTCCCATCCTCTGAAATAGTTATGGGCAGGTTTTATAAAATTTTGCTAGTTATATTTTACACATTCATTATTTAAAAGGATTTTATTTAGCATTTTTTGTGGTCTAAATTTTTGTAAGAATTCTGTAGATGTTTGCAAAACATTTGGAACCTTCGATTATATTGTAAACTATGAAGTACAGTGGATAACCTTATTTTTTCTCCACTTTTTTATTTAAACCCTTTTCCCTTTTAACCTCACCTAGAGTCTGACCTCTGTTATTTTTCACACAAATTTCAAGATAAATAAAAATGTAATATAACTTAAAACTATTTCTAAAAAAAATCCCAGAAATTATACTAACCCCCCCAACTTCCTGTTAATTATATTTTCCGTATACTTAGGCGGCCAAGACATTTTTATGACGGAAGAACAGAAGAAGTACTACAATGCAATGAAAAAATTGGGATCCAAGAAACCTCAGAAACCTATTCCAAGGCCACAGGTAAGAGCATGTGAATAATCCTAACTATATGCATCATAGATTGCTTAGGAATCGGGGTTTCTGCAGTCTCCTTTGTTTGTGAAATTCACAAGCATCATCTAAGAACTCACTAACAACCGATGTCCACTGTTGTCCCCATATCCTTGGACAATGAGATCTTCACATTCGCCAGTGAGACACTGGGCAGTAGCTTTCATTTACATTTTAGAGAACACACAGAAGATGCTGATCTTATGTTTATTGCAGTGATATGAGCAGTTTGGACTTCATGTTACCCAAATGTAAAACATATCTGTAAATTTTTACTAGAATTTTCTGGTATGAAGTTGATGTCATACATTCTTATATTTACTTCACAGTATTTATTATCAACTTCCTGTATCAGATTGTTGTTGTTGTTGTTGTTATGGGCCATTGAGTTGCCTGCAACCCATAGCAACACTGTTTTTATAGTAGCTCTGAAGCTTACCCTGCCCTGATCCAGTCTCACTGATTGCAACATACCTTCCCAAATTGCCCATTACTGTGTCAATCTATCTCATCTGGAGTCTTCCTCACCTGCACTGTCCCTCCACCCTTCCAAGCATGATGTCCTTCTCCAAGGACTGGACCCTCCTGGCTACCTGCCCAAAGTATGTGAGATAAGGAGAAACTTGGTTTCTCCAAGAAAGATCTATTTGTTTCCTTGGTTGTCCATGGTATGTTCATGACTCTTCTCCAGCATCACAACTTAAAGGCATTAATTCTTCTTCTGTCCTTGTCCAGCTCTCTGATGCATAGCAAGTAATTATGAAAATCATGTCTCTCGACTGACATCGTTGCTTTTTGGTACTCTGGAGAGGTCCCTGACAGTAGATTTTCCCAATGAATGGAATTTATATTTTGATTTCTTGACCGCTGGTGCCAAGAGTCTTGATTGTGGATCCAAGCAAGCTAACAACCTGAATCTCTTCTCCATCTATCAAGGTGCTTCCACTTGGCCCAGTCCAGTGGTGAGAATCTTTGTCTTCTTGATGTTGAGCTTCAATCTATATTATTTGAAGACTACAGTCTTTGACCTTCTGCAGCAAGTGCTTCAAGTCCTCCTCATTTTCAGCAAACAAGTTTGTGTCATCTGCAGAATGTAGTATCAGATTGTCAGCTAATTTTTTCTGTAAAGGACTTGTTGTGTGGTGCAGTTGAGTCAACTACAACTCATAGTTGACTCTACACATGATAGATCTGAACGTTACCTTATTCTGCATCAACGTCCCAATCTCTGTCATTAAGCCCATTGCGGTAGTCACTGTGTCAATACATTGTGAGGTGGGTCTTCCTCTCTTTCACTGAATCCCTATCTTTCCCAGCGTCCTATCTTTAAGAAGTGGTTCCTTCTGAAAATGTGCCAAAATAAGTGAGATGGCACGTCATCATTTTGTGTCTAAGGAACACTCTGTTGCATTTATTTCAAGACAGATTTGTTAGTTCTTTTGGAAGTCCATAGTATATTCAATCCTCTTCTCCAACACCACAACTCAAAGGCATCAATCTTCTTTAGTCTTCCTTTTCATCGTCTAACTTTCAGATACTTAGGAAGCAATTGAAAATACTATGACTTCATTTAGGCACATCTTAGTCTTTAAACTGACATCATCACCCTATAAAACTTTGGAGAAGTTGATGGCAGAAGATTTTTCCAATGCAAAATGTTTTCTGATTCTTCACTCCTGCTACCATAGATGTTGGTTGTGAAGCCAAAGACAATCAATCACTAGCAGCTTCAACCTTTCTTTATCACGCTGTTGCCTAATTGTCCAGTGGTGAGGATTTTTGTTTTCTTGGTGTTGAGACATATCTATCTTAGGCTTTCTAGGTTATAGGACCCTTTACCATTGTGCAGCAAAAGCAGCCATTGTGGTTTTTTAGGTGCCATTGAGTTTACTATAACTCAGAGTGGTCCTTAGAAAGAACACATTGGAAACTTGCCCTAACCTGCACCATGCTCACAATCTCGAAGACCTTGTTGCAGTTTCTGTGTCAATCCCCTTTGAGGGTCTACTCTTTCTCTCACCCTCTGCTTTTCCCATCATGATGTCTTCCGCCCCCCCCCCCCCAAACTGGCCCCTATCACCTAAAAGCCAGAGTTTTGGTTAAGTCGAAGGTCTGACTATCTGAACTGACAAGTGAAGACTTGCAGATGCTCATTCTATTTTATTCCGTGGATTTATGTAAAACAGGTGTTCTCCACATTAATATTATTAAAGTCAAATTCCAGAAACAGATGGGCACAAACTTCATCTTTGTCTTCTCAAATCTAACACGAGAAACTTCATTTCAGCATAATGAGAATATTTTCTGGTCTTTAGAAAAAGATCTCTACTTTTTTCAAGAAATTGCCTTAATTTTGAGAGAGACCAATCTATTGTATTCATTTGTGTGCCTTTTTGTTTATGGGTGTGATTTCCTTCTTACATTTCAAAATAATCTATTCTTCCTTCCTTCTTCAGAACAAATGCCAAGGCCTCGTGTTCGACCTCGTCACAAGCCAATTCTTTGACATTCTCATCATAAGTCTCATTATCCTCAACATGATCACCATGATGGCTGAAACCCACAACCAGTCAAAGGAACAAGCCGAGATCTTGGAGACTCTCAACACAGCCTTTGTGGTGGTCTTTTTAACGGAGTGTCTCATCAAAATCTTTGCTTTGAGACAATACTACTTCACCAATGGCTGGAATTTATTTGATTGTGTTGTCGTGGTTCTTTCTGTTGTTAGTAAGTAAAATCAGCAGCCAGTGGGGTGTGAGGCTGAGAACAGGAAATCGATGTGTAAACCACCAGGAGCCATTGAAAGTATGGACGCCCAAATTATCCACCGAGCCACAGAGCTGAGCTTAACGTAGTTTCTGAAATAATAGTCAAGCACATGGGGGTCATGCTTTCATGAGATCCAGTGTCATTACTAGACTCTTGATTATCTACACAATTGACATAGAGAGTGAAATAGTTATGCAGGTGGAGAAAGATTATTCAATGGAGAAAGAAAAAAAAATTAAGTTTACTTGGTGCTTACCCAGATAATTAAGTAGATTTTATCTTTCTGGTGGAACTCTAAGCTCTAATGAGCATGTTAAGGACTTTATCTTTAGTGTCTCATATTTTTCCTTTGTTCAAAATCCATGTGGATGCCAGACAAAAATTGATGTTCCCTGAGACAGTGCTATGTCCGCCCTCACCTCCTGCCTGGGGCCCCATGGTCCTTTCTGGATTGGGCTCCCCACAGTGTATTATAAGGACAAGCAGGACATTCTCTTTGCTTCATGTGACACATGGTAATTTAAGCCTTGGAACAAACTATTCTTATTTCCACTTTGTTGACACCTTCAGCAACAAGTGTGTCTTCCTAATGACAGGCTGGAGTACTTATGAGGTTAACACAAGGAGAGTAAGAAAAAAAGAGTCAGTGACGGCATTTCTCCCTTCACACACACGAATACATGCATACATATACACACATACACACACATGTACACACACTGTCACCATTGAACATTCAATTCTTTATGGCCAAACCATTAGAGTTTACTTTAGAATTTTAAAGTCTTGTTTTAATTAAGTCTTTCATTTCACTTATATAATTGGATTAAACTTCCCAGACACCCTGCTCTTAATTCAAAAGGACAATGGAAACCGATTTAACAAGTAGGCGCTTTTGTGCTCTCTCCGAAAGGCAGGGTGCATTGAACAGTTATGTTGGATTAAAATACTCCGCTGTTGCGGCAACAGTGAAGAAGTTTCAGAAAGCAAGCAAATGGGGCAGCTGATAGGCTTCTCTGGTTTCTCAGCTATAACATTTAAATAGATAATGTCTAGCAGTACTTTTTTTTTTGTATGCTTAGAGTTAAATTGATTTTTCAGTTTTAATTAGTCAGTTCCAATCACAGGTTCTGATGAAACAGACAGCAGTGATAAAACTTAGAAAAAGATAGAAAACAAAATGAGTGTGAAGCAAGCCCTCTGGAGAACTTAAAGAACGCTCCTCTAACTTCCAAGGAGCACTCATTCACTTTACAATTTACTGAGCTGATACCAGGCAGTGCCAGGCACTGTACTGTTAGAGTTGTTGAAATATAACTTCTGTCTCTCGAACATCTGCTCTAGTGTTAGTTCTACATGCTGTATAGAATTTTTTTCCCAAAGGATGAGGACAGCCACTCACTCATTAGTTTGGGCAGCTTTTCCCAATAAATCTTCTATTCCAACACTTAGCTTCTACCCTTCTTCAAGTTCCATTCTAAAGCCTTAAACAAATATAGAATATGTGTAATTCAAAGTGAGTGTCTCTCTAGGAATTAATAATCCTAGCTGACTTATTAAGACTATTTACTTCACTGGTACGAGTTGCCATCAAGTGAATTCCAAATCACAGTTACTCCAAGTGTTTCATAGTAGACCTCTGCTCTTGGGGTTTTTTTGATTGATGATTTTTTGAGAATTAGAGCGCCAGGACTTCCTACTGAGGACCATTCGAGTAGACTCAAAGTGCTAACCTTCCAGTTAGCAGGCAAGGGTACTAATTGTATGTGCCACCCAGGAATCCCTTATTCATCTTAAAGAGCCTAATCAACAAAGGTAAGGAAATCAGATGAACACCAAATCATGTGGCAAAAGCAGAGGAGAGTTTAGAAGAAGGAGATTACTGTGGGCTGGGTTAATCAGAGACGTGTTAATGGAAGAGGCAATATTTAAAGAATAGACCTCTAACAGTTATCAAATTGGCACTTAATACATGCCACATCTTTCCAGGCTTGGCCACTCAATTGATGTCCACATTAAACATCTTTAGTAAAATTTAACAGTTAGCAAAGTACATCAGCTTGTTCTCTTTGGTCATTAGGTGACGGCCGATGCCTTTTGGCTGCTCACATTGCAATGACCCCTAATGACCTCAGAGGACCTCCAGAGCAATAACGAGGCCATGTCTACACAAGGCCAGCATGTTCCAGCCACTCTGCAATATTTGGGCCAAAATGTGAGTTGTTTTAAATCCTTGACTCACTTGCTTGCAAGTCAGGCAATGAGGGGCCAAGCTGACATTTTAGGCCAAATATTCAGTTGTCTGAAGACATCTCTGATAGAGATACAATCTTGGGGTGTCAACAAGAACAGAGAAATTATCTTCCAACCTGGTTCCTAAACTTCCTGAGTTTGGACATTGGGCATCCTTGGAATGAGGATATTTCCAGATATGAGGAATCTCTATTTGCCAAAGTTGAGTGTCACATCACTGCCATGTGGTCGCTCTCTCCCCAGCCCTACTCATATTGTGTTAAGCTTTTTTGGCAAATAAACTATCCTTTCACATGTTATCTGTATTACAATTCCTTCACACAAATAAGATTCTGTCCATTTGTAAAGATCATTGGAGATAGACTTCTCACCAAACCCAGTTTAAGTAGCACAAATCCATCTTTTTTTTTTTTTTAATCTAAAAGACTCGAATTGTGCTTTTATCTGTTTGTAATTTCATGCACTCAACAAATATAGTAGCCTATGATATGTGTTGCCCAGAAGCGGCTTTAAATACCCAACCTATGCGTATCAGGTTAATTTGATAACTCACAAAATATCTTCTCATAAACCAACATAGCGTCCTTTCTGGCCTCCCTTTCTTCTCCATCGTTGTCTTTGTTCATGATTTGAGACACTTTCTGGGTTCCCCTTAGCTCTCACATGATCTCCCACAGTCTGAGAACTCATCCCTTCTGTGACATGCCCGTGCACAGAGCTAACACTGGGACTCACTGAAGCTTTCTAAGTTTAACCATGATTACTCTCTTAGTCAAAATTGTTGAGGCTTTGGAAAACAGCTTTCTAAATTAAGGCACAGGCAGATGTTTTCCCCGATATTAGTCAAGAAAATTCTTAATTGTCATAGGAATGGAAAAACATTAAGAAAAAATGTTGACCATGTTAGGATTTTGAGGCAGCCTGGGCTTGGATGCAGAGCGGCTGCTGGGAACTCACTGATTGTGCTTTTTCTTCTAAGGTACAATGATCTCTGCCTTGTCAAAACTTGACAGCATTCCGTTTCCTCCAACACTCTTCCGGATTGTCCGCTTGGCTCGGATAGGCCGCATCCTGAGACTCGTTCGCGCGGCGCGAGGAATTAGGACTCTCCTTTTTGCTTTGATGATGTCCCTCCCATCTCTATTCAACATCGGGCTTCTGCTTTTTCTCGTTATGTTTATCTATGCCATTTTTGGCATGAACTGTTTTTCCAAAGTAGATGGAATGGACGACATATTCAACTTCAAAACCTTTGCCAGCAGCATGCTGTGTCTCTTCCAGATAACCACATCAGCGGGCTGGGACGGCCTTCTCAGACCCATGCTGCAAACGAACAACTCGTGTGGCCCCTCTGCAGAGACCCATCCCCTCTCTGGCATAGCCATAACCTACTTCGTCACCTACATCATCATCTCTTTCCTCATCGTTGTGAACATGTACATCGCTGTCATTTTAGAGAACTTCAACACAGCCACTGAGGAAAGTGAGGACCCTTTGAGTGAAGACGACTTTGAGATATTCTACGAAATCTGGGAAAAGTTTGATCCAGAAGCAACACAGTTTATCAACTATTCTGTCCTTTCTGACTTTGCTGACACGCTACCAGAGCCTTTGCGTGTGGCAAAGCCAAATAAATATCAATTCCTGATGATGGATTTGCCCATGGTAAGTGGGGATCGCCTCCACTGCATGGATATTCTCTTTGCTTTCACCACTAAGGTGCTGGGTGACTCTGACGGCCTTGATAGCATGAAAGCGATGATGGAGGAGAAGTTCATGGAAGCCAACCCTTTCAAGAAGTTATATGAGCCCATAGTCACCACCACCAAGAGGAAAGAGGAAGAAAGATGTGCTGCCATCATCCAAAAGGCCTTTAGAAATTACATGGTGAAGGTGACCAAGGGTGATTTACCGCTGCAGAGACTGTGCAATGGAGATGTGCCCAACTCTGTGGTAACTGAGGGCAAGGTGCATTATGATTGAGCTGTACCCCTACCTCACAGCCTCACAGCCTTGACTCCAGCCTTTAGTTGCAGGGGCGTCAAGCTCAGTGTATGAACTACCAGTGGGCTCACTGAACTTACCATTCCATTTCTCCTGGCCAATGTCAAGAATCAGACTTCAGGATTCATGTCAAATTAATCTTACAGAGATTCAAAATAAAGGCTGTCCATCAGTCACTGGTTGTTGCTGCCTACCAAGGGGTAGGGAGTGACCCATAGCTGACTCTCCACTGGGTTTTTAAAGGCAGTAAATCACGAGAGAAGATTGTTCATCTTTCTTTCAAAAAGCAGCTGGTGGATGTGAACTGTGCACTTTTGGGGTGGCAGAACAATTTCTAATACCCCTAAGCCAAGAAGTAGATAACGTAAAGAGCTGTAGAGAGCACATTTATGCTAGGACTGAAGCATTTCAAATTACACCAAAATAAGACAATAAAAAACCAGACAAAATAGCACATTGAAAAAATTTTCCATACATTTCCAAATATATTACCCTATACATCCCTGTGTTGTTTTTGCCTATGTATGTGGATTATCAGATAGGTGTTTTGCATGCCAAATGAAAATTTAAAATACACTAATCAATGAATAGCTTAATTGCAGAGATTTTTTTAACAACATTAACTATTTTGAATTGATTTCACACCTAAAGGCATGATCTTAAAGTGTCTACCTGACCCGTTGTAAGTATTTGAGAAAATAAAGGAATAAAGGAAACATTCAGTTTGCAATTCTTTCAGAAAGCATGTTAACAATTCCATGTTGTGCTCAGGGACTGTGTTAGCGGTGATATGAACATGATTCTTTGTTTGCAATTGGAGGCCGGGGCTGTGGTTCACTGATCGCTCTCTAAACAATTAGCTCTCAAAAGAATAGGGGAGGAGCCCTAAGTGGACACATTTCCATACTCTCATCATCGCTGATTTCATGACTTACTGGTCATGGAGTGGGGAAGAGGTTCTCATTGAGCTGTGAAAGCTGGCTGGAGCCAATTAAAAAAATAGAATCTCATTTACTGAGGTTAAAAATAGCTGCAAAGGATGTTTTAGATGATGACATCTAGATCACAGGGTGGGGATGGCTTAAGGTACAGTGATAGATCATTTGGTGAGGGGCTCTGGTGGCTTAGTGGTAAGAAGTAGAGAAGTAAAATCCAGAAGATATTATAGATTGATAGATAAGTAGAGAAAGAACGAAAGAAAGAAAGAGAGAGAGAAAGATGGATGGATGGATAGATGGATATAGAGATGAATGGATAGATAGATAGATAGATAGATAGATAGATAGATAGATAGATATAGATATGGATGGATGGATAGATATAGAGATGGATGGATAGATAGATAGATGATAGATAGATAGATAGATAGATAGATAGATAGATAGATAGAGATAGAGATGGATGGATGGATGGATAGATAGATGCATAGACAGACTGACAGACTCACTCATAGTTGACCCTCCAGCAGATTTTCAGAGGCTGTAAATCGCACAAGAGGAGATTGCCCATCTTTCTCCTAGAAGCAGCTGCTGGATTCAAACCACCAAAGAGGTGCGTCTTTGAGTCAGCAGCACACCCCCCAATGGACTAAGCCACCAGAGCTCCTCCATTAACATCATAGAGGTCAGGCTTTATGACTGATACAATAGCTGTACTCTACTGACCATGTTGCCACACAATGTTAATATTAACCTTGACCACAGTGCAGCTGACAGGTCAGGCTTTTCAGAGGGGCATGGCCCCAGAAGTAGTCCCATGACTTCTTCCCTAAAAACTTGACTTGTACGGAATCCAAAGAGGGCAGGCAGGGGTGGCTCAGTGATAGAATACATGCCTTCTGCATCTGAAAGCAGAGTGTGACTCCTGACAGATGCAATTCAAGCACAGTCATCACTTGCCTCGCAGTGGATGTTTTCATATGTTGCTGTGATGCTAAATGGGTTTCAGTGGCACGTCTAGGCTCAGCTAGATTTGGGAAAAAAGGCCTTGCAAGCGACTTCTGAAGCTCAGCCGATTACATCTTCACGGACCACAACAGCCTGATCCTGTTGTGAGTGGATGGAGTTGTCATGCACTAACGGTCATTTGATGGCCATTAACGACCATGCAGAGGCCAAGCGAGGCAAGAGGTTGCTGGAAAGTAGCCTGTGAGCAAGGAGCCCACATGTGATGTTGCAGGTGAGGAGAGCAAGGCTCTCAGCCTCTAACCATTTCCTGTTGTTGTTGTGTGCCGTTGTGTCAGAGCCAATTTATAGCTGATCCTCCAGTGGATTTTTGTTGTTGTTGTTGTTGTTGTTGTTGTTGTTGTTATGTGCCGTCGAGTTGCTTGCGACTCATAGCGACCCTCTGTAAAACAGCTCTAAACCCTGCTCTATCCTGTGCCAATCGCACTGCCTCTGACACTCCCATCCCAATTACCCCAGTCACTAAATCAATCCACCTCATAGAGGGTCTTCCCCTCCTGCACCACCCCTCCACGCTCGCAAGCTTGATGTTCCTCTCCAAGGACCGGACCCTCCTTACAACATGTCCAAAGTATGTCAGACGAAGGCCCAGAATCCTTGCCTCCAAGGAGCAGCCTGGTTTAACCCTCCCTAGGATGAATCTGTTTGTTTTCTTAGCCGTCCATGGTACCCTCAATACTCTTCTCCAGCACCACAGCTCAAAGAGGCAGTAAATTGCCCAAGAGGAGAGTGTCCGTCCTCTGAGAGCTACCAAAACAAATGACCACACACTGGGCTGTCCGGCCGGAGCATGTCCCCTGCCATTTCTGCTGATGTTGTCCTGACGGTAACTGGGAGGCCGTTTCCGTCCTCTATGACAAAGAAGAGCTGTTCCTCAGTGTTTCTTTATGGGGAGGAGACTTGGTGGCCCAATAATTAAGTGCTAGGCCGCTGACCAAAATACCGGCAGCTCAGACCTACCAGGAGTGGCAGGAGAAAAGGCCTCGTGCTCTGCACCCATGAAGACCACAAGCCAGAAACACCGTATGGTAGTTTTACTGTCGTGTGTAGAGTCTCAATGAGGCAAAATCAACTTGACAATCCACCGCCAACTTCACCACAAGTTTTATGAAGAGTTTGAATCACAGACCTGTAGTTAGTAACTGGATAACTATAGTACTACCAGGGATCTCCTTCTTCTTTTCTTTTTCTTTATTTTTTTTGGTACACATTGCGTTTTATTCATGTATATTGTGTTTCACACATTTCTTCATTCATATATTTCATATGATCATTCATATACATTGTTGTTTTTTGAAATTTTTTTTGTTTGATTAGGGTTTTTTTATATTTAGTTTTTTAATTAATTTTAATGAAAGCTTACAGACACTTAGGGTTTCTAGTCATTCATTGTTGCACTTTTCTCCCTATCCACCTCCTCCCCCCAATTCACTCTTCTCCTTGAAAAGAAAAACTTTTTCACTGTTACGAAATCTCTTCTCCAAGTCCCCTCCACTTCACTATGCAGCCTTCACTCTGGACTTCTGTAATGACAATAATATCCAGTCATATATCCCTTTTAAACAGTTCTCTCCCTCATCTGTTTCAATGCAATATACATCATTCCTCCCCTCCTTTTCTGTCTTCCCTCAACCCTGATGTCAGTCCTGTTTTACCACAGTGGCCCTATGCAACATTTGTCCTTTTGTGACTGAGATATTTCAGCATAATGTCCTCCAGGGTCATCCATTTTGCATAATATTTCATGAGGTCCTTGTTTTTCAGTGCTGCATAGTATTCCATTGTGTGAATATACCAGAGCTTCTCTATACATTCATTTGTTGATGGGAGGGATCTCCTTCTTACACTTCTGCTATTAGGTGCCATCAGGTCAAGCCCAAGTCTAACTTGGTTCATGGACAGCAGAACAAAACCTGATCCTGGACATCCTTGTAATCTCTACTGCACTTACGGGTGTCTTGCTGAGTATTGCTTTGATCCATCTGGTTGAGGATCCTCCTTTTTTGTTTTTTATGATCCTCTACTTTCCCAAGCATGAGGTCCTTCTCTAGAAATTGGCCCCCTCCTCATACCCAAAGTATATGACATTAACCTTTCTGGCTTCTAAGGAACATTGCGGCTTCACGTTTTCCAAGACAGAATCATTTGTTCTCTTCGCTGTACATGGTATACTTGATAATCTGCACCAACATCACAGAACAAAAGCAGTAATTCTTTTTTTGGCTTTCAATAGTTTTAGAGGTTAACAGGCTTCTGGTTTTCTACAGTTCTGGGGAGCGCTGGTGGCCTGGTAGGAAGGAGCTGCGTTGCTCTCCCAAAGGTACGTGGTTTGGATCTTCCAGCTGCTCAGAGGGAGAAAGTTGGACAATCTCCTTCCGTGCCTCTGAAAACTCGCTGCAGAGTCAGCTACGAGTCGGTCTGCCTCAACGGTACACAACAACAGAGGCTAAAACAATCCAAAACCATGTTCCCTCTGGGGGCTCTAGTATTCTTTCTTACATGTTCCAGATGTTGAGGATTTCTACAGTTCCTTAGCTCAAGGCATTTATATTGAAGTCTCTTCCTCTGCCCTGTGTGTGACCATCTTTCTTCTGCATTTCTCTGATTCTCTTTTCCTCCTGTAATGAGAATGCTAGTCATGTTGGATCATGGCCCATTCTATGGTTTTTCCCCCCATTTAGTTTATTGATTTTTTTCTTTTGTATTGTGGTTTGAGTGAAAATTTATAGAGCAATTTGGCTTTCCATTCAACCACTGAAACCCATCTTGTTTTATGACATTCATTACAATCCCACAATATAACTGTTCTTTCCACTCCCACAGTGTGTTTCATATTTTTATTAATCCTTCTAGCATACCCTTTGCTGTCTTGTGAGCTTTATTCTGGGCAAATGCAGCCCTTTTCCTTTTATACGGTTGATTATTTTAAAGAGGGAGTGTCTCTCTGATGTTACTGTTCACTTTATAGTCCTATTTCGTGTTTGGGCTACAGGTATAAGTTTTATTCCAGGTTTG